GCTAATACTAAATGATAGAATTAAAAATGAGATAACACAACAGACTCATAGAATGGCAGATGTCCTAAACAGCACTGTGGACTCAGAATCAGCCCTTAAGGCATTTGGATCCTACTAAAAACCACATGAGAGTATTTCAGGCATGGAAAGTCAAGACACTATGGCAAAACAAAAATGAAAGATCTCTGTGAGTGAGATTCCAGTTAAAACAAACAGGCCATCAAAGAAGGGGGTACCTTTCTCTGACGGGAGGAGAGAACTTCCACTTTGACTATGACCTTGTCTAAATAAGATCGGAGTTGGCTAACTCAAAAAGCTTCCGCAAGCAGGCAGCTGTCTACAAGCCCAGGAGAGAGGCTTCGGCAGAAACCAACCCTGCAGTTGTCTTGATCTTAGACCTTCAACCTCCAGAAGGTAAACCTCTGTAAGCAAATAGATTTCTGCCATTGAACTCTCTCAGGCTGCAGCATTACCTGTGGTAGCGCCAGTAAAACTAACACAGGTGCAAAACTGAGATAGACATTTGTATCCACGAAAGGGGGCCAAGGCTTCACTAAGTAAGCAACTCTGTGTAGTATATTCTCTCCATTTTCTATCTATAGGAACCCATGACAAGAGCCTCAGGTGATTACTGACGCCATAAGTAAGAGTGTCAATTGTTAAATCAACAACAGGAGTCACTGTGCACTTACTCCCCATGTAGGATTTCTGTCCTTAATGTTGTACTATGTGAATTAACGGTATAACTAGTACTCAAACGTTACTTTACACTTGGTGTTTCTGTGTGGGTGCAAACTGTTGAAATCTTTTGTAAAAATGTAAAACTCTGTGAAACTAGTTTTCTGCCTTAATAAAAAATATTTAATTCTATGATTTTGCTTATTTAACAGTTTTCTATGTGCTTTCTATCCAAATATCAACCAAATTAATATTATTCTGCTACAAATCTAAATATGCACCATTTAAATATTTGAAATAATATTTGTAATTATTAAGAATGATTTAATTTTGCACTGTAATTCTTGATTTTGGTATTTTATATAATCTGACACAATGACGATTTTATGTGCCAAATGGGAATAGTTATTAACATATATTAGAGGGAGATGCTAAATTTTTACAAATTTATTGTGTTCCCTTGAGATAGTTCAAGATTAGATGGGTTTTATAATTTAAATGCATATTATAATTCATTTGATAAAATTTATGGTAATTAAAACTTTAATAAAGAAAATTTTAAAGATATTACCATGAAAAAATATTCAGGTAATAGTTTAAAAACAAAGAAAAAAATTAACTTATTTCTCATTGTATCAATGATCTTGAAAGATACACTATATAGTCTCTTATCTAAAACTAAACAAACTAAACTTAAAAAAAAATACAAGAAGGAAGTGAGTAACTGAGTTGGTTTAAAAGACATTGTACTTGCACTGGCTTTGGGTCTTTTACTCTTTTATTGTGAGTATTTTCTATTTTGAAAAATGTGATAACAATTACTTCCTAGTAGAAAATAAGATATGCACAAAGACCATCTAGAAAAAAGAATAAATATTTGGGAAGAACTTTTTGTACTTATCTATGTGCTATGACTCCTTTGGCAATATTTGAAACTATTAATTCCTTAGGCCACTGAGCAACCAACTTTAAAGTTAAAGGGAAACTTTAAATGTAACAATTTCTGTTCAAGTTCAACATATGCTTGTAATTTCCCACAGCTACACTACGTCAATTTTAGTTCATTTGGGAACTTACGGAAGGAAGAAGCAATGCAGCAACTTTCAAAATGAGAAATTGAAATTTGGTTTTCTAATTTTTTTCATCAAATGCATACTCTACAAAGAAGTTACTGATGATAAATTGGTTATATATGAATCTTTTAAAATGTTTAACATTTTCTAGATTATTTTAAAAGAGCACATGCAACACGAAGTAAAATTTTATGATTCTAAAATAATGCATGTTTGAGATAGTATAGCTAAAGATATTAATATAAAATATCAATGTGGATGCTATATACAAATATCAGCAATGCTATTTTGATTTTTTATTAAAATTTCTCTTACATAAGGATTAATTTATATTATTAAACATGATTACTTCCATGCACATGATGTGTATTTTCTTTTTAATAACAATGTTTAATTTGTTAGTGAGTATATACTCACACACTTGGAATAAATAAAATAGGGCATGACATAATCTAGAAAAAGCAGGACCTAAGGACATCATTAAGTTTAGTCTATGGTAGTAAACAAAAGTAGAGCATAGAATACTCAGCTAATAAAACTGCTATATTTTGGGTAGGAAATAACCTTTGATGACATGCAATATTGATGTGTTTCAAAGAAAGAAAACATACAAAGGTGACAAAATTTATCTATATATGTTTTAAATAAACAACTATATAACTTTCATTAAAAGATAAAGATAGTAAGAATAACAAAAAAAAACTTCTAATACGTCACATATTGTAACCTAAGTGTGTGGGGTTTTTTTTTCGTTTTTTTTTTTTTTTTTGGACAGGCAGAGTGGACAGTGAGAGAGAGAGACAGAGAGAAAGGTCTTCCTTTTCTGTTGGTTCAACCCCCAATGGCTGCTGAGGCCTGTGCGCCGGGCTGATCCAAAGCCAAAAGCCATGAGCCAGGTGCTTCTCCTGGTCTCCCATGCAGGTGCAGGGCCCAAGCACTTGGGCCATCCTCCACTGCAATCCCGGGCCACAGCAGAGAGCTGGACTGGAAGAGGAGCAACCGGGACAGAATTCGGCGCCCCGACCGGGACTAGAACCCGGAGTGCTGGTGCCACAGTTGGAGGATTAGTCTAGTGAGCAGAGGTGCTGGCCCTAAGTGATTTTAAGAGCAATATCTTTCTGTGTGATCTCAGCAATAATTGTTAGACATATAATACTCAGATTTTCATCTGAGGAAATTCAATCAAAAAGGGAATTACTTTCATTTTTTAATACTCCCTAACATTCACTCAGTCTCCAAAGCTATAGAATACAGGAAGACAAGGAAACATACTGCAGCAATGCACATAGAAATACAAAAAAAAAAAAAAAACAAAACAAAAAAAAAACTTTGCAAATAAAATAAATAAGAAAAACTTTTTGTACAGAAATTAGAATGTGTGAAGAGTGTAAAGAGTAGTAATTGGTAAATGAATAAGCTGACATTTTACAGTAAAGATAAAAATGGAGAGGAAATATTTAATACTACAAATGTGGAAACAAAAGTTAAAAAAGAGTAATGATCTTGAATGGTGGATGCAAATAAATTGCTTTATACTACATAAAAGTATAGAAGATAGATTTTTTTATAAAAATTGCCATAACAAAAAATATCATGCAAGCTGAAACAAAGAAATGTCTGTTATTTGCAGATTTCCCTCCAAATTGCAAAAAAAATGAGAAATATTCTCATAGTATTCACTATGCAAATATCATATTTCAAGTAAATATCTGAACATTAAAACATCTATAAGATATATATGAAAATTTAGTAGCATAACTGATCAATATAAATTACTTTTTAACTAACCAAATAATAAATCAAAACATAGTCCTCAAAATTGTATTTACGGTAACAAAGAACTAACAATACATCTAAAGATCTCAACCATTAACTATATAATACAATCTGTATAACATTTAAGAATATGCAGTGCAAAACCCATTACCTCAAAGAAATAAATATTCATTGTCACACAAGGACCTGTAAGTGACTTTGCATGGCAACTCTAGCTTTTAAGTATTTAACTGAATAACAGAATATCAAAAACAGAGAGAGAGAGAGAGAGAGAGAGAGAGAGAGAGAGTCACAGGTACAAGGGTCACAATGACCCCTGCTGGCCAGGCTGAAGGCAGAAGCCAGGGAACTGGAACTCCATCTGAGTTTTCCATGTGGGTGGTACAGCCCAAAGCATGCAGGCCATCTTCCATTGTCTTCCTAGGCCCATTATCAGGGAGCTGGATCTCAAGCACAGTACTGGAACTCTAACCAGTAATCTGATTGTGGGATGACAGATTCTCAACTGGAGGCTTAACCAGCTTCACAAAGACAGCTCTAGCAGCTTTATTTTAAACATTAGAAAACTGCACAAAGGTAAATGTTTCTATGTAAGAAGATAAAAAAAGTTGATATATCCATATAATCTATCCCTTAATAAACAAAAATTACTGAACCATAAAAAACACAAAAAACTACTGCACGCGCAACTTATATAGTAGTCTTCCTTTATCCATGGGGAGAAGGGGTACATTTGAGGACCCCTAATAGATGCCAGAAACTGATAATACCAAATTGCATAGTCAGATGCATTTTTGTTCCATTATGCATACATTTCATAAAGTTTAATTTATAGATTAGGCACAGTAGGAAATTAGCAAGAATAAATAATATTATAATAAAACAATTAAAACAGCATGCTACTATAAAATATACATAAAGCCAATTATTTATTTTTGGAATACTGCATTTAATATATTGGGACAACAGTGGGCCACAGATTACTGCAACTGTGGATAGCAAAACTGCAGATAAGGGTGAACCAGTGTTCTAACTGAAGAAGCTAGTTTCAGTATCAGCAGCTTTGTATGATATCTGAAGTAGGCAAAATTACAAAGAAAGCATACCAATCAGTGATTTTTTTTGGGTCAGGGGTAATCATGTAAATAAAGGGCCTAAAAGGAGTATTTGTGGAAGTGATATAAACATTCTATGTTAAACACCTTGCATTGTTCAATATGAGTATTCTAAAATTTACTTTACATGAGCAAAGTTGAATGTTTTTCGTTTGATTATTTTAGTCTATGTCTATTTTCCTGCCGACTACGATCTTTCACTTTTTGTTTGTTAAACACTTTATGTAGTAGAGCCAATAAGCCACTGACTACAATGTAAAATAAAATATGCTATCTCTGGAGGATATTCCCATTGTTTTGAGTTTTAATAGTCAAGACAGGCTATATATATATATATATATATATATATATAGTAAGGCTATATATATTAGTAAGGCGAAAACATAGTAAGACTATGCATGTGTTCCAAGATATAGTTCTTTCCTTAGGTCTGGTTGTATAAATGCCGGTAATAATTCAGTCAAAGAGAAAAAAAATATCTAAAAATAAAATAAAGTACCATTATATTCTTAGAATTTTCTATGAAGTACAGGGAAATCAGCCTGTTTGTATTATCATAGTAAAATGAAAACTGTTTTAATATAATTATCATGCATTGATTGTGACACTGAAAATCTAATGTATCAATAAAACCTTTTTGAAAAAGTTTCTGTTTTTGAATACTAGCAAATAATTTACTATTAAAATAAATTTTCAGGTCATTAAATATAGGGAATACTGTATGTACAGTTAAATATACTCTAGAATTTTAACAATCCTTGGCTTTTAACATTCTGGAAAGGTTATCAAAGAAAATAGATAAGCAGGATTTATAATAAGTTGAGAAGAGTATAAAGTATAATTTTTGTACACATTTGCACTAAAATATGTTTTTAAATTCAATCTGTGGATACAAATAGAGATGTGAAATACTCAAATTTTAAGAAGTACCTTAATATTCTATGTATCTATTTTATGTCTACAAAAAACAAAACATTTATAATTTGTCCAGATGTTTTTCACACGATCTCTATGAAATTTCTAAATGGGCAAGTTACTGATCTCTTTAAAGTACAGAGGCTTTTAGTTTTACTTGGCCCGGTTTTATCCTATGTTTTTTAGAACCAGTTTTATTGCTTTTTTGTAAATTTGAAATCTAATTTTACAGTAACTACTGAATAGTTTAACTAGTGCTCCCTTTGGGAAAAGAAATAAAGAAAAAATATGAATAAAGAATATGATAATCCAAGATGCATAATACACATTTTTAGCTTTAAAATTGCTCTTAAAGGTCAAAACATTACAGCTTTTTCTAAGGAAACTTTCTGCAACACATGAACTTTTAAAGACATTCTACTGATTAGTGGTTTTCACTGTATAATTATTCTGAGGATAAACAATAAAGAAAAATAACTAAATGCTGTATGGTAACTATGAAGTAGTTTACAGTCATAACCAACAGCAAAGGGTCAAGATAAAATTTCCTATGTATACATAAGTGGAGGAGAATCAGATATTGAAAAGAAGAGAATTCCTATAATATAGCTGAACCATAGCAATACAGAGATACAGTCTGTATTTTCACACCCCTTGCCTTTGAAGGTATCAGGTTACAACTACTACTAGCATTTGTCTTTTTACCCCTGAATCTGTCCCAAAATGTATTACTATGATGACAACAATCCGTACAGAAAATGGCTGAATAGTATTCTACATGTATAGTGCTTATTTTATTGAACTAATACCTCATTTTGAAATAACTTAGGAGTTTCCTACTATGAATAGTACTCTGGTGCTCATCTTAAGTGTTTTTGCTAGAAATATTTATTTTTATATATTACAATATGAATTATCAACCACACAATTTTTGATTAGTTTAATATCCTGAAATAACTAGCCAAAGCCTCCAGTCTAAATTGCAGTATGTCCAGTGCTTTTTCCAATGTTACTTCTGACTCTAAGTTCCTGCTACCTATGAATTCACTGCAATGCTCTTCTCAATGGTTCTTCTATTATAATTACACACTAACCTCAAGGAAATCAGGAACTGAAGTCTGTTATATATAAAATAAATTTAGGATTGTGTGTACAAGACATGAAAAATTTCAATCCACTGACACCCATATCAAAGCTGAATTTGTATATTTATCATACCTATCACTGCAAATCATTTTTGATATTTTGATATTGATCACTGAGTACTACAGTCTCACCCATTCACTATAATTCAAAAATTTCCTTTTCCATTCTTTCCCATTTCCATATCTGTCTTTAATCTTCTACCATTTTTTTCCCTGTCCTAGAACAACTTTTTTGTTTGAAAAATCATTTCCATTCATGAGAACATAGAGATGACTGCAAAATGGAGGTTATTTTATTTTCCCTTTCAAAATGACTTGCTTAGCAGGGCTGACATTGTGAAACAGTAGGTGAAGCTACTGCTTGCAACATCGGCATTCTGTATCACAGTACCCGTTCAAGTCCTGTCTCCTCTGTTTCTGATTCAGTTCCCTACTAATTCACTTTGGAAAGCAGCAGATGATGTCCGTGTTCTTGGGTCTCTGACATCTACATGGGAGACCAGGATGGAGTTCCTAGCTTCGGTTCAGTCCGTCCCTAGCCTTTACAGCCACTTGCAGAGTGAACCAGCAGAGGAAAGCTCTCTCTAAATAAATAAATAAATATGATTTGCTTTCCTTAGAAACAGTTCTGCTTAAAAATATAACTTTTATTTGAGGTAATACTGTATGTCACAGGGTTGAGGTGTTTAAATTTGTTCCCACAGTATTCTTTGAGCAGACACTATCATAAAACTATTCAAAATATGTTAGTTACTATTGTATACACATACAAATATCTCCCTCAGTCTTCCACACATTTTCACTTATATCCATTCCTTATTCATTTTGTGAAAAACAAAACGGTAGCTTTTTTCTTATATTGTTATTGTGATGTTTATAATAACCCATATTTCAGAAGTTTTTAACAATCTATTATCTTTCTAATCATGCCAGCACTAATTATTTAAGGTATTTATGAATATTACTATAGTCATTGACACTCTAGAGCTATTTTAAAAATATTTTTCTCCATTGCTACCAATTAATCTCCTGCTGTTGCTATTATTTTCATCTAAAGAGATTAGAGAAATGGCAAACTTTCTGACTTCTTGCATGTCAATGAAATGTCCTTCTCTTATGTGTCCATGTGAAAGACAGTCTGGCAGATTTTGTCACATAGGGCACGACCTTTTTCTTCACATAATGTGGATAATGAGCCCTTGTCTTCTGACATTTAGCACTGCAGGACAGCCTAACGTCAATCTCATTATTTGTCTATTTCTGTCTAGTTGACTGTAGAGTTTCTTCTTTATTCTTAACTTTTTAAAAGCACCAATACATATCTACTAACTAATTTCTTTTCATCAGCAATTATTGCTAACTCACCTGATTTGTGCACTAAAATATTTCTTAAGATATACAAATATGTATTTTAAAAGGTTATCATGAAGAGAGATTAAATATAAAAATTGGAAAGTAATAGTCTATTATTATACCAGTCCAATGAAATATGGAAAAGCAAAATTCATTTCAGACTAATCAGGATTTCGATCAGAAAAAATAAAATATTTCTCCAGGAGAGAAATTCTAAATAAACCTTTCGATTTTTCCTATATTTAAGAAGATTATTGTTTGGTTATATCTCCTAACGTTCTCCCTACTTCTCCACTCAATCAGGCATTTGGCCAGTCCCTCAGACATTGCAAACATGTTCCTGCATTAGTGGTTTTATATTTAATTCCAGTTTTGTCTGAAACACTCCTGTATTTGATATCTGATATTGACTTTTATCTTTTTTAAAAAATATTTTATTGAGTTATTTGGGAGGGAAATTTACAGACAGAGAGAGGGAGAAACACAGAGAGAGGTTTTCCATTTGCTGGTTTACTCCTCAAATGGCTGTAATGGCCGGAGCTGAGCTGATCTGAAGCCAGGAGCCAGGAGTTTCTTTGGTCTCCAGGGTGGGTGCAGGATTCCAAGCACTTGGGCCATCTTCTATTGCTTTCTCAGGCCACAAGCAGAGAACTGGTCCAGAAATGGAGCAGCCTAGACTTGAACCGGCTCCCATATTGGATGCTGGAGTTGCAGGTGTAGGCTTAGCCAGCTCCAACTTTTGTCACTACCTACCATATTATATGTTTTATTTTATTTCATCACATTTTATTTTATTTTATTGTTGCCCATTTGTGTTCACATTATTTTCCATATTGCAAAAACATTGCAAGCTTCTTGAGATGATTTCTTTATTTTCTCTAAATTATCACTTTATTTTCAAATCTCAGAGAAGTGTCTTAAGTTATGTGAATATTCCTGAAAGATGAATAAACTAAAAAATGAAAAGGTACATGAAGTAATGAATGGTAAATTAACAAATTACTTTCTTCATACCTGATATAATCTTATTATATGATTGATTATAGGATCTTTTATTTCTATTCTTCATGTTTATTAAATTTACTATCATTTAAAAATACATTTTACTTTATATTTTAGGAAAGCAGCTGCTCTTGAAAATTCACACTAATTTGGTGCTTTCTGGTTGTTGCTGGTTGTTTCCTAGTGCATTTTCACATTTATAGATATAATTTTATCTACAGAAACTATATCAAATTGTTGATTAGTGTAATTTAATTTAACTATATTTAATAAGTCCTTAAATAAAATTAAAAATATTAATAAAAATGGGATTAAATGTGAGTTGATGTGGCAAAGTAAGAATTCATGTGGCAAAATGATTCATTTCTTGATATAAATTCAGCCTTTGTGTTTACATTTTGCTGTTTAGAGAAAGCCACAGCTAACTGATTTGGTAAGCCTTTATCTCACTAGCATATTCTCATTAAGGATCATCATTTATTTAGTGCCATATAAATGTCATTACAAAAGTCACAGAAACAAAGTTGTATTGAACAATATATGAACTCTTAATTTGAATTTAGGAACTATTAAAGATTAGATTCTAGTCTCCATCCTCTGAATTTATAAATTCAGTATTTTTGGTGAGAGATTCTATAAAAGATTTAAAACAGACTTTTCATTCTGATGTGATCCATTTTTTGTTTGAAATTTCATTACTATGATTTTGTTAATTTTTTAACTTAGAAAATTGATCAAATTCATAACTGAAACACCGGGATTTGAATTTGTGGTGTACAGTACCCAGCAGCTCCCTTTCTGATCCAGCTCCTGCTAATGGCCTGGGAATTGCAGTAGGTGATGGGCCCCTACCACTGATGTGGTGCCACCATCTGAGGAGGGAACCAGCAGATTAAACAGTATCTCCCTCTGTCCCTCTCCCTCACTTTCTAACTCTGGTTTTCAACTAAATAAATAAATAAATAAATAAATCTCTTTGGAGGGTGAACCAACGGCAAAAGGAAGACCTTTCTCTCTGTCTCTCTCTCTCTCACTGTCCACT